GGCGGCCAACGGGGAGGGAGGTGCGAGGCTCGACCTGCGCGGAAACGCCAAACCGTTTTATGGCGCTCATTACCCTCGGCGCGCATCGTCGCCCGAGCAGACGGCCCACGCAACGAGAGACAGAGTCCTAGGGCGCGTATCCGACCCGACCCCGCAGCCTCCCACGCCCCAGCCCACGCGCCTCAGCCACCCACGCACATCCCCCGCGCACCCCGCATTCCACTGCTCGTCCGCCCGCCGTGAGCCACGCCCACACCCGGACGCTCCCGCTCCGCCCACGCACTCCTCTCATATTTCCGCCCTCGCGCCCGTCTACGCTCTGCCTGCTGGGCGTGTGTCACGTTCCCACACTCGTCCATGCACACAACTACGCTCCGTATCACGAACTCACCACACACGGCATTCAGGAGCTCGAGATAAAGTTCACGTATCGCACTTTCCTCCGTATGTCAAATAATGATTACTGTATCATTCACCCAAGCATGCACCCTTCCCCCGTCCGGCTCAACTACTCACCGAAGCACCTAATCACGAACCCACCCAGCCATCTAGTCAACCGAAAAGGAGTCCAATCTTTTACCCACTCACCTAACACCTAATTACGAACCCGCCTCGAACCTACCTACATACTCACCCATCTACCCAAACCACACACCCGCCCACGCTCTCACGCTCCTTATCAAGAACCCAGCACGAGCAAAATTTCCCAACCACCCCTGCATTCAACCACGCACACAGTAGCTATTCGCGAACCCATCCAAGCCCCCAATCACGATCGTATCCCAGCACCCTATCGCGTACCTCATAAACCCATAAATCTACGCCCCCCCCCTGCCGGCCATCACCTACCAACGCGCTCAACCACGCTCGTCCAAACGGGTGCGCAGCTAGTGGCAGAGAACCGTACGTATGAAGTTGGAGCTGATTACGCCGCTGCCCCTCCCAGTGGACTCAGATGTTCCCCCGAGGGAGCGATACACAAAATGGGCATCGTAATAGTTGGAACCAAATTGAATTCGAATACAATTGACTTCAGTTTACGTGAGGCTCATTAAGCGAAACTGCGCTGCCTCCTCTTACTGCGTAATTTTACAGCATCTCGTCTCCTCTCTCTTCTGTAAGGGCTTTCGGCGTGCATTATAGTCCCTTTCATTGACTCAACGTAATTGAATTATGAAAACTTCATGACAGGATTTAGAGAAAATTAATATGAATAGTCGAATCAATGTAGATAAGATTTCAAAATGCGCAAAAATTGAAATATCCACGAACAGAATTTCGGCAGAGGCAGAAAACAATAAATAGCAAATAGAGGTGAACAGATGAACAATGTGCGAACTAAAATCTCTATAACGAGTATCATGAACCAACAGGAGTTTGATATTCACAATGAAATCACTATAAATTATATAGTGACATAACATATAGTGTAATATAAATTATATAGTGACTATATAACATATCCAATATTCTCGTTCGAGTACAGTTTGTTTCGTAAGAAATTGGAGGCACTTTGTAGTAATTAGGGGCTTTTAAGAATTCATAGTATTGAGATGTTCTTTTCTTTCAAAAGTTCCAAGAGCAGGGACAAAGGTGGATCTAATTACAATACCTGTAATGAAATACTAATACTTTGGTATTAGGGTTCCGAAAATACAGATTTACTAACATTGCCTGCAAACAACACTTCACTTTTTTTATTTGTTTAATACTGTATTGTGAATGTTAATGTGAATATGATAGTGTTTATATTACTTCAGACAGTCTTATATTTAATGGATATTGAATATTTAATAATTTTTCATCAATAATTACTTCTAATATGAATATTACATTATATCTAATCAACACTAACGTAGCACAGACAATGCATTATGAATGTCTAACGAAATGAAACAGCAAGAAAATAGCTTTTCTTCCACATGAAAATGTATCTAAAATATGTGAGTATTTCCGGCCGAATCCGGCTCGTGCGTTCTTAAAACCAAAACATTCCTTTTCTTCAAATTATAATAACAAATCTTCATATGTTGGAGAAAATAAACCGTTTGTATCGTCACAGCATGAGTGTTACATCGTTTCTATGAATTCGCTTTATTGTGGGCTTATGGCATTGCGCAAAATAAATAAATATTATTATTGGCGTATAGGCCATTACTGACCACGCTACACAGTTAACGTGTGTATTTTTTCTAGGATCAGCATTTCAGCTGTATCTCTCAGTACGACAAGGTTGTTACGCCTTGAAGTGTGAATTACAAAATGTTAGGATGATAATGATGATGATGATGATGATGGACAATTACAAATACGACCATGTCTACACAGGACTCGAACCTTTAATTATTATTATTATTATTATTATTATTATTATTATTATTATTATTATTATTGTTATTATTATTGTTATTATTATTGTTATTATTATTGTTATTATTATTGTTATTATTATTGTTATTATTGTTATTGTCATCATTATCATTATCATTATTATATTATTATTACTATTATTGTTACCATTATTATTATTGTTGTTGTTTTGGGGAACGTGATACAAATATAGAGTAGGACTGCCCGTGGGGAACAATCCGAGGCATTTCACCAGAGAGACCGAAAGACCAATCCTTTTACAATTTCTCTCGCGTGTTTCTGCTCGGTTGGCCGGGGCGATTGTGCAGGACAAATGGTCCGCGTTGTAATTGCACGTTCTATTGTGGAGTGCACATCTCGCCAGTGCGGCAGGGTGCGTAATCCGCGTAGCCGCCTGTTCAATACTCCCCGTCCCTCGCGGCGGGCGTCGCATCGGACTATTGATGTGTTGTGAAACACTCGCTCTACCTCGCTCCCGAAAGGTGCTGTTGTGAAGAGCGGTCCGGTCTGATGAAGTGGACTGTGTCATTTCATATCTTGCAAATAAGTTCGAGTTCAAACGACCGGGTCATATTGGGAAATTAAAGCCATGTAATTAGTGCGCGCTCCCAATGTTAGTAACATTACAATTGAAATAGCTTGTGCGTTCTTGTGTGCAAATACGTACGCTGCTGCTAGTTTCTAAAGTTGCTTAATTAGGACACGGACTGTAATTTCTTGAAGAGAGGATTTGCACAGAAAAGTAAAGCACGTGCCAGAATAATTTCATTCAAATAGGCGATAAGCTCTAATAAAGTTTGACCTACACACTCAAAATATATTAAAAAAACTTACTTTATGGAGTTAGAAAATGGTTTACGAAAGTTGTATAATACCTCCATAGCAAAAAACTTGCACGGCAAAGACAAACTCCTAGAGTACAATATCACATACTTTCCCTATTATTTGTAACGCTCACGTGATATTATAATCGTGGTTATACTCGGAAAAGTGGTACCGATCTTGAAAAACATAAAAACATACGATCGAGCTGGGATGCATTGGCTCGTCCAGCAGTCGTCTTATCCGTTGCACCACTCAGCGCTGTTAACGTGTACTAACGCTTCCGGCGCACTAAAAATAAAATGGAATTTTACATTTTCGAAGAGTCTGAAGTTTTATTGATAATCGGACCTTTGTTATTTTAATGAATGTACTTTGAAACCACTTTTTCTTTTAAGAAAATGTAAAAAATGTGCTAGGGGATTCGTGTAAAGTACCTTCAAAGAGTGGAGCATACGTTTAAAATTCGAGGAAACGCGACATCACCTAGATCGATCGGGGAACATCAATTTTGGCTGATATCCTGTTCAGGGTGGTGGTGGTGAATTTTAGGGATAGACGTTTTATGAAGAAACACTTCTTTGGTTTCAAGTACCCACAAAACGTGGACTTTTCTGTAACTACGTCTAGGAGGAAGGAAAAGTTTCTTTTTCGGTATCAGCATCCTACGAGACGTTTTTCTGTGAAAATAATTTCAATGGCATTTCATATTTTCCTCTGTAATGATAATACGATAAAGGGAAAAACTAAAAGCGAGATAGCTGAGTGGCGCTGAGACTGAAATTTGCCTTAATTTGGACAGCTCTGTATATTAAAAATATTATTTATTCAAATGTTATTGATTCACATCTTGCCACACATACGATTGTCTAATACTTCCTTATGAAGGTGAAATAAACGTTGAAATCTTAGAAGAATAATTTACTATTCAAATTCTAAATGACATCTTGGCAAGAAATTGTAACCTCCTTACTAGAACGACATAAAACAGAATTTAAATATTTTTATGAGTGGAAAATGCTCAATGTCAGGTGAGCTCAATGGAGGAATTTCCCGCCGGAAAGCACCTTGGCTCAATATCTCAATTTTACAGGCGAAACAAAATACTGAACTTTCAGCTAATGCCAATAGCCACCTTCAAGAAACGAATGTAAACAAGATACGGACATGAGCACTTTTCCATACGATTGGCATTGCATTTTGCTTGCAAGCCTGTGATGAAACAAATTGCTTATATTTTTGGTTTGAAGTGTTTTTCCAGCTGTCACACGAGAGCTTCTAATTTATATATACATTATTACCTACACAGTCTCTTTCACGAAGAAAAGCAATCCAAAATTTACTTTTTTACAAACTAAGTACTCGGTTGCACAGCTTAATATTGTTTAATGGCTCTTAACATGTATATTTATAGTTTTTTATTATAACGAAGTCGGAATATCGAAAAATGTCAGTCTTACCAACATAAAAGCTGCCCTAATACCAACTGCCATATCGCGACTACCACTATACATTGTCGGATATTTTACCTACTATATTAGCAGCGTTGTGAAGTGTGAATTTTTCGTAAGCAAAACATGAAACTCATTACTTATTCCATACTTTTACCTTTCAAAAAGCTCCAATGACAACTGTAGCAGAACGGAAAAACATTTGGAGTGTCCGGGGTCCATAACTTTCTTCCTGAGAGCACGTCCTGGGCTAAAACGGTTGCGCGTGGAATCCTGAAGAGTGAGTCAAAGCCTCTGGAGTCGTGAGCTGCGGTTTTCCCTGTTGATTCAGCGCTCGGCGCGTCTCGTGGGTCGCACCCGGAGCCCGGTGCCCGCCTGCGGGGCGCCGAGGCCAACCTGCACTGCCTGTGGCACAGTGGAGCAAACACCGCAAAGCCTGGCATGCAAATAAAAAAAGAAGAGTGGCGGAGCACCCCTTTTTAGACGAGAGTAACGACGAAGAAATCAAATCCATTATTTTCTTCCGGGGGCTTTTTACGGCTTCAGGGGATGCCAATTTCGACTGTTTGCGCCGGGTACACAGTATGTCCTTCATGGGGACACACATTAACCTTTACATTAGTCACCGACACTAGCGGGCTCCTCGGTCTGCGTTCAGCAGACTCGCAAGGTTTTCCGAGACAACACGCATAAATGGAAGACGAAGGACAAACAACCCAGCCTGCGGCGGGACTCGACCCGCGATCCTTGCAACCGAGGCGTTGAGTCGGCACACGCTCTGGCCACCTCGGCCATTCACGTCGGCAAGCAGTCAAATTCAAATGAAACAATAAATCAAATTATATGCATTGACATGTGATAGAAAAGGAGAAATATCGGGTCAATTTGCCCGTTTACACTGGTTTCCGCCAGCCCAAGATGAAAAGACCTGGGTGAACTTGTCCGGCGCATCGATTTTTGCCCGTTCTGCGCAGCACTACAAATGTCATGAACCACGTGACCAAAATTTGGGCACGTCTTTTGAAACGCCAGACCAGACGCTGGCCGCCATGCTGCGTGACAGGCGAGAAGTGTTGAGAAATATTCTGAAAGTGGCAAAAAGTGATATTTTCAAGTTAGAACAATCCAAAATAACACGAATGTGTAGATGAAATAAAAAATTCAATTTAAAAAAAAAAGAAAGCTTCATATTTCAGTTTTAATGCATTGTACCATGGTGATAATTTTTGTATCTGGCTACATTTAAAATTCCCACTAATATTGTGACGCAACCCGGCGCATGACGCTCATTGGTGGAAGCAGGATAGCCTCCGCAATAGCTCACCCCTGTCTTTTCACCATGCATCAGCCCACGTTGTGAGATTACACCGCGCGCCAGCTGCAATTCCCAGGCCCTGACGCGCCATACTCCTTGCTGGCGATCGCGCACGCCCTATGAGGCTTTGATATAGTGGAAAGAAGCATGTAGTTGGCAGCAAAGGAAAGGAGGAGATCCTCCCTCGAGCTGCATAAAAAACATTTCTTATTCTGGCAACGAGACATAACTGCCAAAGACAGTTCCTCCTCAGAGAGATCGCCTTCGAGTCCCTTAAAAGCGCGCGTGGTTTAAATCTCGAATAGAGTAAATTTCCTCATAACCGTCTACTAAAAAATACACATTTTCCGTCGAACGTCAAAGTAAATATTTTATTTGGTAATTTATGTAGAAGAAAATGGGAGAGAACTTTCCTCCATTCCATTCCCTCCCGAGAAACCGCCTCTGAATAACAACCGTAAAAATGTCTGCCTGGACTAGAATAGTCGAGACCAGTTATGTTGGGACGCCTAAAAACCACAAAGGGGCGTGAGTTCAATCTCGTACTTGCATACTTCAGTGGAGCGCAGAAAGTTGACAAAAAATATTTTTTTGTTGAGTGAATAAAATGCAGTAAAAATGAGTGAATATGCAGTAAAACATTGTTTTGGTCGCAAAATAAACGGCTGCACTCAGCCTTAAACGTTCTCCTTCAAAATAGCAATTTTTTGGTGTACGTCACGTTTCTTGTGCATCGGCGATTTGTGCTTGGTAATACGTCTCTCATAATCATCATAATTCCATAGCCTGAATTGCGTCGATTGGAAATCTGTCATTGTTGCATTGTTCTTACAGTGAATCAGGAGTATGGCGAGATTAACAACCTGCGCTATCCTGACTTTAAAGTCGCGCTAGCTCGTGTCTGAAGCTGGAAATTAAAAGCGCTTCAGACGACAGTGTTATTTTTGATATTCATATGCATCCGGCGTGTAAGGTTGGGAAAAAAAAACATTTTTAGATCTATGCGCGACATCTGGAGTAATGCTAAGAAGGTGCAATAAGCATGAAAGCTCCGAAAAAACAATTATTTCCAGGAGTAATAATAATTTAAAGAATTTCTGACATTATTGCTAACTATATTTCTTGAACTTTAAAAATGTAGTTTGACCTTTTTTTTGTTAAAAACAATTTTCAATTATGTCTTGTTCTAGCCATTTAACGCCACTATTCAAATTTTACTCTGTCGTGTTCTTCGACGGTATTTAAAGTTAACAAGAGTGAATTGGGCATCGATTAAAATCTTATGGGTCGTTAATCATTATCGAATTGAACATACATGTAAAGCAAAACATTCCACGAAAACCAGTTCCTTTGAAATTAGATATTTAAAATAGTGTATTATTTTAAACTCAAATATAAAATTTTGTTACAAAATATTAATACATCTATTCAGCAGTGGCGCGAAGCACGTATTTAATCTGCTGATGAATTAACCCACCTCTGACTGCAGGTTTCCGTGAAATGACTCCACTGCACGCCGCCGTTGCGGTTTCTGCGTTGCCTCTCGCCGACCTTGGCGCTCATTGCTCCTTCCAGCGAGTTTCAAAGCAAACCGGCAGCCGCCAGCGCTGCTGCAGCCCTCGCGGTTCACTACTTGCGAACTTCTGCTTCCCCTTTGGAATGAAATCCCTGGGTCGTTTCTTGGTGCCCTTGTGGACGAAAGATTATTTATCGGTCACATGCGTCTTTCACCCTTGTTAACGTGCAACCCTATAAGTTTGTTAAGTGCACTTGTATGTTAAGGAATTTTAATTCCTTAGCAACGGGTTTTAACGTCCTTAGTAACCTAAATAAGCAACCACCATTTATCACAAGTCAACATTATTACGAAAAAATCAAATGGTAAATTTATAAGACAAATCGCACCTCCAATAGAAAAGTGACACAAGTGCGAAATCGTCATTTTTCAGCTAAAAGCTGATAAGAGGTTACCAAGAGGTATTGCTACTATTCTGAAGTTGATTTTGAATTAGCTCAGAGAGGTAGCTAGAAGGTGAATATTTGGTACAATCTATAACAAGTATTACAGAACTATGAAACTTAAAATTGTAATTTCTGAGATCAGAAATTCGCACTTGTGTCACTTTTCTATTGCAGGTACGAAATAGTAACCAAAAAACGCATTATTTTTGGGGATGTCCATTATTAATTATAATGTTATTAAGTGTGCAATTTGAAAAATAAATATTTGGTAAATTCTTGAGGTACAGACGAATTTTCAGCGTCCATCTGCCTTGAGCCACGGTATAAAAGTGTATTGTTGAAATAGATATATCACAAGCAATACCCGACAATATCGATTATAGTGCCGCAACAACACAACCCATGTGTTTCATATCACAGTAATGTAGTAAATTTTCTACAAAATTAAAAAAAAATATTATGGTGACCGATAAAACGCTGAACATACTACGAAATGTTAGTGTTATTACTGGGTATATTAATAGCTATTACACTGGGATACAATGACAGTGTAATAGATCCTACAACGGACGCACTGGAATTCAAAGCCGCGACTTCTATTTAGCAACAGTCGCGACACATGGGATTGTTCCGAAACATTATTCCAGCAATGGGCACTATACTACATGCGTCTCACGTACGTAACACGCACCACTTTACTCTGTAGTATGTGTTACCGCTTGTTAATCCATGAAGAGAAGTGAATTTCTGGAAACCATAATTAATTTATGACTTTATTTAATAACACACTGCTCAGCATTGCAGCTGTGAATTGTATTAGGTCGTGTAAATACAATAGCAAACTGCGTTGCATTTTGCGTTGAATTTAAATGTTACTTATAAAATTAAAAAAATAATAAAAAAATTGCGTTCCTTAGTAATAAAAATGGAGCAACATTCGTTAAAAGACGCCTATGGGTTTCCGACTTTCAGTTTTCAATACTATTGAATACAAATAGTCTAGATTGCACTCATCCGGTCATTTTCTCAATATCAGTTTGAGAAAAATGACATGGATTTTCTGGATCTTGTAAAATTTATTCAGTGGTCGTGTGAAGTGCCATGTAATTGAAGATACTCTCACCCAGAGCAGTACAAAATAAAGTATTATATGCCTACGTTACCTTGAGCTCCAGAATCCCAACCTTCACTCCATTACCATAATTAGTGGAATTGTGAATAAAAGATGACAACGAGCGTTGTGGATATACGATAACACGAAATTAAACTCTCTCGTACAATAGAAACTATTTGTACTATAGATTTCCTTCACCAATTCATTCCTCTTGGCAGTTCGTTTTGGTCAATCCACTAACTATATGGAATATATTTTGTTACGGTTTTGTTGGTCGTTCTTTAACATGTCTCTGACATTTCCGCTTCAAGTTGCTTTTCCTGGTCCTTTCTGTAAAGATTTACACTGATCACAACACTCCGCACTCCTTCGAAGTGACGACACAACTATTTAACAAATGAAACGCAGATTGCTCGTCAGACGAATCCAGTTTCATCAGCCAATGACTAAGGTATCCAGTGAAATAGACCAATAACTAGAGATGCGCAGATCCAGCGGGAAACCAAATATAAATGTTTCATAAGTAAAAGGAGATATCGTGGTCGAAAAATGGAAAAAACTTCAATTCGTAAGTAAAATATAAGTCGTCCGCATTTATTTATTACAATTCTTGTAATAAAGATATTTTAAAATAAAATTTATTTAAACTACTTAAAATTTATTTGTAAACTAGTTGTGCCACAATATACCATTCTTTTTCGTATTATTTATAAATTTGACATTTTCGAAAATTTAGAGAGGTCAACGAAAATAAGACCTGAGTTATTCTTTTACGAATTCCTTTTCTATCCGTGGAAAATATGAAGAAAACATTTGGAACGGTATGTGAGAATTTTTTTAATTGCATAAATTTCAAGCACAAATTATGCAAAAACTACATTTTTAAATTGTACATGATCTTAATGAGCTGATTGTTGAGAAAAAGATTGTTTTAGGTAAAAATCTTTATCCAAAATTTTGTAATTTTTATTTTTTTTGCAATATTCCAAAATACTGAGTTCACCGGAAATGAGACTAGCAGCACAGCCATATTTGAGAAAATTTTGAAAATGTTGAGGTATCATGTAAAGTATCCCCAAAAATAAAAATGCCCATTTCGAACTCAGAGTCTCGAGTTCATTTACAATCGATAGTAGACATCATTTTTGGAAAAATTGACTGAACCATTTAGTCGCAAGCTCTGAACAAAGACGGACGGACAAACCTTTTGCCGAGAATCATTTTTTCAGTATCAAGGATCCACGAAACATTGACTATGACCACACAATGTTTTACAGGAAGTATGTATGTATTCGTCATTTTGGGTCGATTGTCCGCGGTTGCTGGCTAGCTAACGGTGTCGCCCATGCCTGAGTCTAGTTTAATTCGCACGCTTGAGGGGTAAGAGAGACATGTGACAATCATGACGTACTTCCTCTCACCGTAACTAGCAAACTCCGCCTGCTGAGTTCTTCTTTCTCACACAGCTACAACAACTGAGAGGATTTTTAAGGAAAGCTACAACTCTATTTTGCCGCGATCGAAAATCGAACCCGGCATCACATCTCGGGAAGCTAGTACGCTGCTAATGAGGCATCCTAGAGGCTTAGATGAAGTATATCTTTATATGTAGAAATGGAATACATGATAATACAAGATTGATCCACAAGGAAATAATTTTATCACATTTTTCGTTACCAGGTCCCGGCAAAGAGTTTTTCTGCCGAAAATTCGCCTTTTCCGACGCACGGTTACAATACTTCCTCGTCTTACGCAGTAAGGCGAGAAAGTAAAAATAGCTAAATTTATAGAATTCCATACTTTTTATTTTTTTCAATATTTTTTATTAAGGCAGTAACAATTTTATGATTCATGGTTATATCCATATTGGATTGTACGTAACGGTACAAATTACATAAATAAAAAATTAAAAGAATAAATGGAACTTACAGCGTATCGTGCCTCACATGAAGGAATTAACTTACTACCGCGAACACGATAACATGAACCTGGGAACGAAAAGGCGTGCGCAGCATAAAATAAGTGGGGGGGCAAGTATATTTCTAGGACCCCTGTCCCCCACTCGGCTCCCTTTTCTTTTGAACATTTTTATTTTAAAATTACTTATTTTACTGAAAATAAACAAAATACAATAAAGAAGAATGAAGTAATTTTAATGTTACAATTAACAAACACAATTGATTTTATGTTGGGCCATTTACAGGATTGGCAAATTGAACTAAATGGCGTTCAACCTTTAATATTTGTAGGACTTCACGACGCGTGTCCAAATGGGTGACGAAGCTCCGGCCGTCGGCCTAGGCGGTTAACATAAAACAAACTTCATCAGAGGAACGCCTAAGTTCCTACACATTTATGCCCAAATACTATTGTTGTCGAACAATATGTTCGGGGGAAAATAAAACTAGGAGCGAATTTACAAAATTTAATAGTCACTGACTTACAATTCGGATCAGGGGAGTTCGAGGATTTTGAACAATTGCTTCCGAAATAGCTGGAAAAGAATTCTTTAATATTTATTTTACAAACTGAATGTCTCCAAAGAATCTACACACTCAAATTAATATTCTTGGTAATTTTCACAACTTTCTTTTCACAATATTATTTTTTTGAAGATTTTTATCCTATGTTTTCACTCAAAATTCTCACAAACGAACGAAACCCCATATACGAGAAATTCATTGCCACAGAAATATAAACAAAGTTCCTCGACTCTCATTGAAAATATGGAACAGGAAAGTTCTCATTCCAGCGACTTCCGCTCTGTCGTTCTTCGTTTTGGTTCTACGCGTCGGTAGTTGATTTGTGAACGGGGACAGGTTAAGGGAAAAGACCCAAATACACATCTGGCGAGTTACACGTTTGAGGCCTTGCAATGTTCGCAACACCGGCGCGGAGGGCCCAGAGGGTCCTCGGGAAAGGCAAATGCACTGGCGAGTCAGTGACCTCGCGCTATGCTCGGATTTGTCGGCATTTTGGGCGGAGCACATGCACCCATGGCAGGCAGCTATTCTGCCAACGTACTGACGCATGACGACGCAAGACGCATGCGGCAATTGCCTCAGAGCTTTTTTCTCAGATTTGGATCAACTATATCTGTCATTATGGAAAATAAAAATTATAAAATTATATTTTTTTCAGTATTTTTCAATGATTGTTTGGTCCTGTTGGTCTTGCTCGAGTGTAAGAATGAGTCAGGTTCAATTTGAACAGTTATTTGTTCGAATGCGGCTGTTAGCGCTGGACTCATAGGACGTTATCCCATGTCTCTTAAAGAGCAGGAATATTACCATCCCGTTGTTTTCGTAAATATAATTGTGACGCAATAGAGGTAAACGCAAACTAGTTTATAGCACTAGGAAAGTAGTTGTAACGCAAAAGTAGCTGTAACGCAATGCAAAGGAATATTTATCGTGCCAGTCGTAGCCTTGAATGGCCTTGAATCGTCCCATCGGACACATGCCATAAATCTGCTTCTCTGCGGCGGCACTGCCTATTGACGCGGCTCCCGCGTCCGCAACCCTCTCGCATATCCATTCAACTGGGTTCACTCTGGCGGGCTGCCCGCGCCCGCTCATAGCGTCTCTTACCCCGCCGACGCGACGCCCGGAACACTGACTGCAAACGCCTTTTTCTCTTTCACCTCCTCTCACTCTCCCTCTTTCCTACCCACATCTATTTCCTTCTCGTACTTCCTTTATCTCATTCTCCACTCCTCTCTCTTGTCCTCGCCTTTCTCTTTTTTTACTTATTTTCTTTTGGATTGATACACAAAGGATTGATATACAAAGATCGGTGCAAAAACGCCTTTCTCTCTTCAATTATTTTTCTCTCCCTTTGAGTTTCTTTCTTCCTTTCTCAACTCCCTTCCTTTGAGTCTCCGTCCTCTTTCATCTAGCTTCCTTGCTCCAGTTGTCTCTGTCTCTCCCCGTCCGTCTTTATATTATTTCTTTTCCCTCTCTTTCTCCGTTTTCTGTTTCTTCCTTTCTCTCTTTTTTCTCCGTAATTTTAGGTATTCATTTGTCATTTTCTTTCTATCTTCTCTGTTTTTGTTTGAGGAATGTTGTTGATCAACGACAAACGTTCTACAAGTAAGTTGAAAGGATAAACAAGTGAATGTTACTCGACTTTCATATGTATTTATTATTAGGAAACACTACGTCGTTGATGAACAGAAATGCCTAAACAGGTGACATAAGCATAATCTGATTCGTAGCGAAAATATTTCCTAAGTTATTTCTTCTACTATAAACGTGTGATGTTACAACAGCATATTGTCGCATTATTTGTAACTGAACCATTTTTACAGTTTTACCTTGCCTTTATTCGAAAAAAATAAAGAAATAATTTTGAGCTATTTTGGGGAAAATGTTTTTTAATCGCCATCCATACGCACAAACACCATTAATTCCGCGAAAATTCGTAATTTTTTGAAAAATTGTAGATGACCTTATTTAAAGATCTAATTTGTGAAAACATATTTCTTGAAGGAGAAAAAATCTCTATAATCTATATTGAAATTTTAATTATGTGCAATTTTGGCAAAATACAGAGTACACTGACAATGGGGTTTGCGCAGTTTTTATAAGCATTTTTTGTTTTATCTAAGAAGAAATTAACTACTGAAGCTTTCTTCTCCGTGAAGTAACTACGTACCACCAGGTGTGCCTCCCAGAGAAAAGTAATGATGCTACAACTGTACATACCTTCTCGCACAATTACTTATATATCCAATTTTCGAAAATACAGAGTTCAACAAAAATGAGATCTGTGCCATATTTTTAAACTTGTTTCTCTATTTGAGAAAACCATTTAAAGAAAATATTTGGAGTCTTTTTAAGAAAACAAAACATATAAACCGACTTTAATTCAAGCCCAATTTACGCGAAAACTAGTTGCTTTATAAAAAAATGTACATGACTTTATCTTTTTTTTAGAACAAACTTCATTAAGGAAAGAAGTATCAACAGAGTTGTAGTTATGCAATTTTTTACTATAAAGGAAGTTTGCCAAAAATGGGAGCTGCGCCATTTTATAGAAAACACCTGTTAAAATATTTAATTTATTTCACGCAAAATTACGCGAAAAGTACTACTATTTTTGAAAAGTGGTACGTGACCTTTTTTAAAGATCAGCCTTTGAAGAACAGTTTTATTAATGAAAAAACTCCAGTTTCAATATTAAAGTAGCGTATAAAAATTTGGGTCGAACGATGGGTGAATGTCCTATCCTCGTATGGCTTATCCCCTTGATCGAGGAAATCTCCGACAAGCATCAGAGGGCGGTCATAGCCTGAAGCAACGAAGAGCAAGATCAGAAAAGACGATTAAAGTACGAATAGTACTTTTAGCGCGGAACAACTTTGAACACCCCAGTGTTCAATTTCGCCCACATCTGGCCTATGCGCGAGTTGCCTGCCACCAAGCAGAACCCTATGACGCCATCACGTGGCGAAGCCACACGCGGCATTGCACTTGCAAATGAACAGAACGTTTTTCCTGAGGCTTGTACCCAAGGGCGTGTGAGTGTCGCTATCACCGGCCGATCGATAAGCGAGCTTTCCCTCCTCCACTCTCCCTTCCCTGCCCTCGTACCCCCAACCCCCCGTCGCCCCCCTGCCCTTGGCGAGCCCTCGCCACGCTTGCAGTTTCCGCCCGGCGCCGTCCCCCTCGTGGAAAATTGAAGAGCGGGAACCTCGTAAGAGCCTGACTGACGTTTCTCGGAAACTTAGTTTTCCTGCTTTAAAGGAGATAGTTGCATCCGGTGCTTCCCCTATTCCGTGTTTACGCCGGCGAAGTGGCCTAGTTTCCGACAGCGAATGAAAACTCCTCCGATGTGAAATTTTAATGCGGGGTTCTGTCGTCGCGAACCAACTTCGACCGCAGACACATGTCTCGTGTATCCGCTTGCAACCGGTTGGATCTGTTTCCTGCAGGTGCAGCCACCGTGGTACCTACCAGCCTCCCCATCCATCGCGGTCATGTAGTTCGTGAGCCCATGTCACGTCCTGCACATGCCGTATCGGGTAAGCGTAGCTCTCGAACCCACCCCGGTTCTAGTCCAGATTGGTCCTGCTTTGGAAGAAAGGAACCAGGTCACACTTCGATCGCCTAGTCCTCTTCGAGGCCCCTAGTCCTCAACGTCGCACACCAGCTCTTGTCACGCTCTCACTGTCCCTACACACATCGTTTGAAGTGATCGGGGCGTTTAGTATCATTTTGTGAGGGATAAAACTGGATTCGAAGTATATGCTTTGGTGAAATTACGTAAAATTCCCTAACCTTAGCAAAAAATCAAAGTGAGGTTTGGTGAATAATGAAATAAGCCGGTTTTGATACCACGGGTAATATCGCGGGTAACTTCTGAATGAAGTTTTTGTTAGATAGTTAGATTCCATGTTTCGTGGGGCATTGATATCGTAATATTGGTTTATAGCAAAACGTCTGAGAACAAGGCTAGCGGCTAAACCGTCAACAGGATTTTCACCAAAACTGATAATTCCCGATCGATCTGGCTGATGTCGCAATCCCTTGAATTTGAAGCGGATGCTTTGATTTTCGGGGGTACTTTACATGAAGCCTTAACAATACTTTCAAAATGTTCTCAAAAATAGCTCCAAAGTTTGTGATTAATTAATTTCTCGGTTAGAAATAAAGCTTGTAAAAGTAACGCATGTTACAATTACGTTGAATTTTCGAAAATTGCGGCAGTTCATTTTTTTCGCGTCTTCTTACAACTGCAATATTTTGATAAAGATTATTCTTAATGAACTCTTTTTTTCAAAGTTCTTTCTTTAAATTGAAAACTACTTGAAATATAGGCAATTTAAAAAAATTGTCTCAAAACTATGGCTCTAAATTGTATTTTTCTCGAACAGAGTAAAAAACTGTCATAGAAATGGTGTAGAACCTATTTTCAGTGAACTCTCTGTATTATGGAAATTTGAAAACAAAAATAACATTTTCAAACTACAATACTAATGACAGGGATTTTTTACTCAATGAAATATGTTCTTCAAAATTATATTTCTTTATAAGGTCGTGTACATTTTTAATACGATTAATTTCGCGTATTTTTTGCATGTTTTAAAATGTAATTGCAAATTTCCTGGGCTTTTTTCTTAAAAAGAAAGTTCCACAAGATATCAGTTCCCAATATGACAGTGGGAACACCGCAACGGAGCAAGTGCTCATTTTTATTCATATGACCCACTGACTTCTCTCTCCCTGTTCCTCCCTTTTCTCATATATTTCTAACCTCTCTGTCCCTTTTATTCCCTTTTCTCTACTTTCCTCTTTTTCCTCTTCTTGTGTTTAAATCGGAGTACATGGCGTATATTTGGGGTGTCCATAAAAAATTGCATTTTGTGGTCCCTAACTCCATTGATGACGTTTCTATGTGTTTCTTTTTTATAAATATTATTTGCGATAGTTAAAACGTAAATGTACGTCCTTTATTCACCATGCTTTCCATAAGTGTTTCATTTATTCTGTGGGTATGAACTTTTCAAAAGATATCAAGGTTTTGTAAATGTGTACTAATTTGTAATTTTATAATACATAATTTGTCTTGTTTGTCAACAGGTTTGACCACCAGACCCAAACGACTTTTGCTGTTTGTGAATCCCTATGGAGGCAAACAGAAAGGCATGAAAATTTATGAGAAGCATGTCAAACCATTGTTTGAAATTGCTGGAATTGATGCAAAAATTGTAGTCACTCAGAGACCAAATCACGCACGTGATGCACTTCTCACATTCTCCTTTGACAACATCGATGGCATCGCATGCATTGGAGGAGACGGAACATTTGCAGAAGTATTCAATGGTCTCATTCTTCGAACAGCAAAGGATTTAGGAATCGACCATAATGATCCTGAAGCGAGACTTCCCACACCAGAATTGAGAGTTGGTGTCATTCCTGGTGGAAGCACAGATACAATGGCTTACTGTTTCCACGGCACAACCGATGTTCCCACAGCCGTCCTTCACATAATTCTCGGTACGTATGAGACCATTAGGTATTTTTTGGTAGAGTTATGTTTTTCAACGTGCTTAGAGCCCGGAAGTTTGGCACAATGTCTTTTTATATTTGTCACGACTTTATGCCTTTTAACATTAGGATTCACTTAATTGCACTTCTGGAGTTGTTTTAGTAAATTTTCATTTTGATTTTTGCCTATTGTAACTTCCGATTCCTATTTTTGGCATTTTGTCTTATTTGTGTATATTTCATCCTCATTTTGGCCTTTTTGGCATTTGCCCGTGCTGGCACCAATCTCTATCAAATTGGAAACATACCTGCTATCCCGGACAACGTGAAGCCACAGTTGTGTGTTGTCTTTCTGTGGACGCGGACGTTCAAGTGTCAGGTTGTGTTAAAAATCTAAAAGGGAAAGGAAGATGATACCAGAGAAGATTTTTGAAATTTTTCATTGATGCTTATAGTCTTGTTTGCCGACGAGAAATCTCATCCTATGTTTGTGTACGGCCTCGGATCCCTTTTGAGGACAGACCTGTCGGTACATAGTTATACCCTTCTCATTTCCTTCTTGTTCTCTCTTCCCTTCTGACAATTACACAAGTGCGAAGAACAAAATCTACAATTCCGTTTTTACTGCTACCATTTCAAGATTCAAGAGACCTGAATAGCATTTCGTTATGACGGGGTCGCGAGTAAAATAAATTCGTAGACGTCAACCGAATGGTCAAGTACGATCAAGATTACAAAGAAAAGGTAGTTTACTTCCACGTTAGTGCTAATGTAAATTTTAGGGTTAAAATAAACAATTGAATCATTTAATTATCTGTTTTTACTCTACTTTTAACTGGTAATTTTTTATTTGTCCTGTATTTTGCCCCTTGCTTTAGCCAAAATAAATGCCTTTTTGCACGCCTATTTTAGTAAAACTATGTGCCTTTTTGCCTGCCTATTTTAGGTAAAATAAATGCCTGAACTTCCGAGCTCTACACATGATATTCTCGGATTTCAAGGAACAAGAATACAAGAGAAACCTACTGAAGTAGAAATATCATGGTACTCTAGTATGCTCGTGGCTATTTTTACAGTGTACACTAATTTTCTTTATTAATAATTAATACATTTTAACAAAAAATCGATTATCCGGGAGTTTCGGTTATCGATGAACCCCTTCCCTGACATTAACCCGGATCACATTAACTTGTTTTCTAATTTTATTCCGGGGGGATGGCTCAGGGCATTAACTGATATCACTGCAGTCCTTCTAACCGGGAGGTCCTAGGTTCGGGTCACGGCGACGGCAGGAGAATTCTTGCGGCCGGTTGCTCTGGCCGGTAGTTTTCCGTTTTTTTTTTTTGTTTTTTTTCTTTCGATCAACATCAGGCGAATGCTGAAGCATCACCCTACCAAAACGGCTCACGGACCGCGCGCGATCTTTCCTACCTATTCCCTGTCCTATCCTCCCTCCTTACACACGCACTAAAACACACATGCCGGAAGACCGGTCGGGAGCTTAGAGCGTGTCCCGGCTGGGGCGGTGCCCCGCTGGTGGGAGATACCTGGATAGGAAAAACCCGCTAGCCGAAGGTAGGTCGGTGCCGGACCTCGTCATACAGTGAGGGAAAGATCACCGCCAACTTCCTAGCAAAACATGTACTACACTTACGAACTAATGCCCCTAGTCGTTGACGTGCCCGAAATCACCAAAACAATCAATCTGATTTTACTTAACTCACTTAATAATACGAGAAAATTTGTAGCGTTTTCTAACACAACCAATTTTAATTCGTTTACATGCATGTACGGTAAACGTTTCTCTCTCGATAGAATGTTGAGATTAAATAATTATTTTATTATCTTATATTTTGATATTTTTCAAAGTGATGGATAATTTTATTCTTAAGTCAATTATTTTCAACAAAGTTAAAATACTCAAAACCGGCGAAAATTGTGTCTCTACTTTGGAAGCGCCTGTATTGCGAAAGAAAACTGCAGCACCACTCTCTCTCCTATCGGCTGCCGTAGAGACAAGGGAAACTGGGATAGCTCACTAGTTGGATCAAATTACAAATCTGTGGCCTTGAGAGAAAGATATCTCAAATTCGGAAAATAAAATTGTAATCACCCATATATCGACGGGTCAGTTTCAAAAGGCATAGAAAAACTTCAAAATCAAAAATATGTTTGGCGTAACAGTACAAAAGAAATTTCGAATTCTAGTGACTGGCGTTTTCAGAGCGATATTAAACTTTAAACGGAACAATCTCAAAACTTAGAATTTTGAGTTGTTGTCTTTTAGAATGTCGATATGTAGAACGCTAACGGATGATCTTGCTGATTGTTTTCATGTTCTCTCCTGTTTAGAATTATACTATATGTATCTTTATCAATTTTCAGGAGATAGCAGAGGACTTGACTTATGTAGTGTTCACAGTAACGCAACACTGCTGCGCTATTATTCGAGCGTGATCTCATATGGCTTCTTGGGAGATGTCTTGAGAGACAGTGAAAAATTTCGTTGGATGGGTCCAAAAAGATACGAATATTCTGGTAAATATTGACTTCGACTGAATTTGATAAAGCTCTAGTGTGTCTTTAAGTTTATATATATTTCTATTTTAAAAATTGTGATCTTTTTACAGGTTTCAAGAAATTTATGGCCAATAAGGGTTACGAGGGAGAAATAACATTATTAGCTGATAATAGTAGTGCAGCTGTTGGACCTAAATGCTGGAGTAACTGTGAAAGATGTGATATGCACAGAGAAATGAAGAAAACAAAAGATGCTCAACAAGAAGGGGGTGAGTGAATATATTGCATTTATTAGTCTTAAGTATTAATGACAAATAATATCCTACATATTATAGTTAGTGGGTTGGTTGGTCCGGCCGTCACTCGCCCCTCAGACCCTTTCGGGTCCACTGTTTGATACAAGCGAAGTGTCAGTTACGTGACTCGGTCTTCTGGTGAACTACCCATTTCGAGATAATTATTACTTTTCTTGTTTCAAAAATAGTTGGCAGTAGATAAGGAATCTGGGAATTAAAAGCATGGAAAGAAATTGTTATTTAGCCTCTTTCCTGCCCGCCATTTGGGGCAAACGAGAGGTCATTTAACGTGTCTGGGGCTGGTAGTTAGGACCTGGTTTTTTCGTATCCTTCTAATCTAATTAAAAACTCAGTTTAAAAAATATAAAAATAATTTAAAACCTGTTTAAAACGTCGGAGACCCTACAATAAGCTAATTAATTATTATTTTAACGGTGAGCGACCCGTGGTGTAACGGTCTGGCTTTTCACCTTCCCCAACTGGGGCTGACGGTG